AGGGGTAGCAAGCAAGACCTCATGGGACATTTCTACCATGGTTGTGGACACCAGATCACAGAGGCTGTGGCTTGGGGGCTGAGCAAGCTGCAGTTAGGGAGGGCTCGGGGATAACTTCTACTCCACAATGCAATGCAAGCCAGAAGATCCCTGGCAGCAGCCTGGCTCATGCCCATTATCACTATACCTCTGCCAATACAGAGGGAACAGGCCTCAATCAGCAGCTGCCTCCATTGCCCTGGCTTTGTCTCACTGCAGCTTTATCTGCTGCTTTCTGCCATTCCTGCCTGCACCCACCACTGCTCCCACTTCCAGCTCCTGTCTATACCCCTCCACCTTCCCCACAGTCTCTCCCTCAGCCAACTCAGCCTCCTCTCAAGTCAGCTGCCCCTCTATGGGCACCTGCAGAGCCCTAACAGCCTGTGCCTAGGGAGTCCAGTAAGTAACAGAAGTTGGAGATAACCTGGAGCAAGATGCTTTACTCAAGCATTTACTTTACCCAAGCTTTACTAAAGCTTGGAAAAGGCAAAGCTGTAAAAGGCACAATTGGACACACTTATTCTTCCCCCAGCTACTGCAACAGGGCTGGGCAACAGGTCAGCACAAAGCACTCAGAAAGGTGTTTTTACTTCCTGCAAGGCTACTGCCATCACCCAAGCAGCACTCCTTGCCCACCAGGCACCAAGCTGCTCCCATGCCCACTGCCAGCACCCTCAGCAGGGCCAGGCCCTGAGGTTCACCTTCCTGCAGCCAAGTACCGAGCAGGCAGCACTCACACAGGCACTGGCCTGTGCACCATCCCCCTAGAGCTTTTCCCAACTTCCTAGCACTCACTACCCTCTGCTACCCCACACTGTTTCCACCACAGCCAGTGGATTGACCACCAGCCTCCCAACACCACCCAGGTACTCTCCCACACCTGGGAGCACAGCAGAAAGAACTCCCAGAGCACCCAGCTCCCACAGGACAGGACAGCCCAACCCAACCTTTCAGCAACACCACAAGCACTAGACACATTTTCCATTTAGCAGGTCCACTTGCCTCCCCCTAGCTCCTTCTTTTGAAGGACTGCTCCCCCATCCCTCCCACATTGCTAGCACAAACCTCAGCCAGCAGCTCCTTCCACCACCTCCAAAGCCCCTGCACTGCTCAAGGCCTCCTTTATACCCTGCAGGCCTGTTTCCCATCCCAGGATTCCCAGCTTCCAGCCCTCCCAGCTACACTTACTTCTCTCCCCCAGGGAAGGGTTACTCCTCCAGCAGGGCAGGCTCGCCCCCAGCGACCTTAAAGGGACAGACCAGCCAACAGGGGCTGCATTAGGAGGGGTTGTGGCAACCGTAATAGTGATACAGAAAATAAGAGTACTAGGAGGATGCCAATATTTGCCAGTGCTTCCTCCTGCTTTGTTGGTACAGCCTGCTAGGTACGGATTGGCATGGGTGTAGCACAAAGTGGATTTGCTGTTGCAAGAAATTACAAAATCACACCAGTTCCTGACAGTTCTTGTCTGATCTCAATAAAAGCAAGTGGCCAGCTATATATAGTTCTGATTGACTGACATCTCAATAGCTTCCTGCCTGGCTTTTCTGTGTTTCATGGTGTGCAGTTCTGACTGTGCTTTTTACGTGGGTGTTGCTTTTTTCGGTGCATCTTCACATCATAACACCAACTTGCAAATGTGGCCACTATCACAGGTGCCCTCCTTTCACAGGTTTTTCTGCCCAGGGGCTATTTCTACCCTGGGCTGAGCACTCAAAGTCAACAGGAATGCTCCGCACCTTCATTGCTGTATCCCAAGGCACACAGAGATTTAGCAGGTGCTGGAAAAATCAGGTCCTGCTATTTGAAATTAATGGCAGTGGAGGCCCCCTTGCACAGCTTCTTACAGGCTCTAGTTTGTTATATTCATAACAGTCCGTGAGGTCAGTTCTTACTCTTGTCTACATTTTACAGTGAGGAAAAACAAAGTTGTATGAGGTGTGTGAGAGTCTGTTCAGGTTCTATCAGGGTTGTTCAGGTCCACACAGAGCCAATGCTAAGGAACAGAATTTAATTCCACAATATATAGTTTGGAGTAAGAGCTTAGCTGTGCCCAGGAGACCTTGAGAGGGAATACTGGCAACAGAAACAGCCACAGTTGCAATAGGATAGACTATTTTTTTTAAAGTGAGAGCATTAGAAGTGCTATAAATCATCATGTTCTAGGGCACAAACCGGCTCTCAGGCTTCAGGAGGTGACTTTCCCTAATGGCAGGGGACTTCAGAAATTTCTTCAAGAGCAGTGAATAGGGTTCATTTCTGGCACTGAGGCTTTGCATGAAGAGGTTGCCATGAGCTGAACCAACCTTCTGATCTCTGGGTTCGGTCTCTTACCTCTATGAGGATTTCCTCACTGTTCTTGGAGAAGACAACCAGTCAGTCTGTTTGTAACATAACCACCTGTGAAGCAACTGGAAACTTTGTGGCAGCTCTCAGGGGTGACCAATGTCTTCCTGCCATCTCATTGTCACCTGACTGAACAGATTTTCAGACATGTTCCATTTGTTGTGACGTTTTGGTCCTGGGCTTTCCAGAAAAGGGAATCACTGCATTTGGGTACAGCATCCTTTCACTTAAATACTGTTTCACCCAGGTTACGAGTGGAAATTAGTAGCATATGAGGAGGCAGAAAGCCCTCTGCCCTCCAGTGCCCATTCAGCACTTCTCTTCCTTGACTTGTGAGCTTGACTCATGAGCCTGAAACTGCACTCAAAATCAGGAGCTGAAATCCTCGCCCTTCACATCCTTCAACCCACTTGCCTGGGATGTGCCCCTGTCCTGGGACCAGGGATTGGGCTGAGGTCTGGTAGACCTGACAGTCCTCCCACCTCAGAAGTTGAACCTGAGGGATGCATCTGCCCAGTGTTTGGGTTTTTTGATGCCTGGAGCATTCCTGTAGGAGCACAGAGGATATTGTTAGGATGCTGGCTTTGATTACAAGCACGACTCCAGTTAGTTAGTGTCTGAGCTGCAGGGTGTTCTCATTTGCCATCTGTGTTCCAGGCTGGCAGGTCTGCCAAGCCCCCACTCTGCCTCATTTCATGAATTTGATTTAAGGGGCTTCACAATTTAGGGTTATTTGTACTGTGCCTGAAACAGTTCACTTTAGTCCTGTACCCAAGTTGCAAACACCACTGACGGCTTCCTGTTGTGGTTTCCTGCTTTAGTAAAATGCCTCCTCCGCTGAGTCTGCTTTCCCTTCCTGTTCTCATCACAAGGCCACTTCTGGGCTTACTGAAGACAAACAAATAGCTAGAAAAGAGTATGGTTGCCATAAGTCCAGCTCCCCACAGGTCTTCGCTGTTGTACTCTAGGCAGAGCAGGGCATGTACAGCTGGATGGTTTCTCCTGAGAAATTTCCTCTTAACCCCCATCCCATATCTACTGATACCCAGCACATATCCAGTCAACCTTCTCCTAACTCCAGTGGGCCTGGAGGCTAACTGGCAGTAGCCCTATTTTTAATGCTACTTAGCAGACTAAGGCAAGCTAGCTTATAACACAGAGCAGACCTGTCCCCCAGCCAAGTGACAGGTCCAGCCAGTACCCGAGAGAACAGGCCAGTTTTGAAATATCGCAGCAGGACCAGCTGATCGGGCAGCAGCTTTTTCCACTGGGTTCAGAAATGAGGGTTACATTGGGAAGAATCAGGGCAAATACCCAGAGAATTGGCCCCAGAGCTGGATTTTCTTTACTTTGAATGTCACTGACACATTTGCTCTCATTGGGGTCAACATCTGCGCAATGATTTAATCAAAGATCAGGCTCCAGAGAACAAATGAGACCCTTCAAATCTGGTAATGTTTCCATTAACCACCGGAAATTAGCTTCAGTTTGTGGGCTGGATTTTAGACGATTTGATACAAAACCTATAGCTCTTTGGCAGAAGGGGCTCTGCAATGACTCAGTCAACAAAGTGTTACCGCTCATTGGATTCCTGC